GGTAGTTTGAGCATTCTTTGGGATTGCCTTTCTTTGGGATTGGAATGAAAACTGACCTTTTCCAGTCTTGTGGCCACTGCTGAGTTTTCCAAATTTGCTGGCATATTAAGTGCAGCACTTTCACAGCATCATCTTTTAGGATTTTAAATAGCTCAGCTGGAATTCCATCACCTCCACTAGCTTTGTTCGTAGTGATGCTTTCTAAGGCCCACTTGACTTCACATTCCAGGATGTCTGGCTCTAGGTGAGTGATCACAGCATTGTGATTACCTGGGTCATGAAGATCTTTTTTGTACAGTTCTTCTGTGTATTCTTGCCACCTCTTCTTAATATCTTCTGCTTCTGTTAAGTCCATACCATTTCTGTCCTTTATTGAGCCCATTTTTGCATGAAATGTTCCCTTAGTATCTCTAATTTTCATGAAGAGATCTCTAGTCTTTCCCATTCTGTTGTTTTCCTCTATTTCTTTGCATTGATCACTGAGGAAGGCTTTCTTATCTCTCCTGGCTATTCTTTGGAGCTCTACATTCAAATGGGAATATCTTTCCTTTTCTCCCTTACTGCTCAGTATTTTTAAGGTTTGTCACGATAGGTCCACAGCAGCCTCAACTGTTGGGCTAATTTAGCCTCACTACTAAGACAGGTCTTTCCAAGGACTCTGCCTCACAGCCTGCGCTTTTCTGAGATCCCTCTGCTTTGACTGGTGGGCATGAGGACCCTTCCCTGTGCAAGTTCTGAGAGGGGCTTTCTGTTCATTCTTCTCCCTGTCTGGTAGGCTTTTACCTTATACAGACTGTTACTCTGCCAAAGACTTGAGAAAACCCCTCTGAAGTTCACCAGAGCTCTTTCTACACAATGACCTCCTCTCTCATATTCTGTCCCATGAATCCCAGCCACTTTTATCTCCCCAAACTCTACTTTTTTGTCTCCTCAGCTCAGCGAAGCTGCTGTGTGGAAGCTGCTATGAGTTGGGGCATCATATGATGCATGAGATATCGGCTTCCTTTCTCCCAGGCATCAGAATGCTGTGCTGCCCATTTTCCAATGCTGCGATGAGTCACTACCTGATCTTGACTACTCCTAGTAGGACTGCAGTTCCTGTAGGGATGTCTCCCTGCGAGCAGAGACAGAGATTTTGTCCATTACCTGTTGTGCACGCTATCTCTATCCCTCATAATGCCTGTCCTAAAGCAGTGTGACCTGTTTTGCTATTTTGCTTAAAAACATTTTGCATCCAAATGTCACAGAAAAGGGCGTTGGAGCTGGAATCACGATTTTTTGCTGCTCACTTAGCATCCTCAGTTGTAAACCCTGTAGGCCTTATTTCCAATTTCTACCAAGTGAGAGTAAGGAAAACTGACCAGCCTACCACGCCAGTATTGTGAGGGATACACTAGATAATGCAGATGACAACATCCACTGTTCAAGGGCTTAACAAAGTCCTCCAAGTACTCAGCCCTCCCTGCTGGGGTAGGGAGGGCAGATTTCTGATGAGGTCTCCCCTTCTTTCTGCTCTCACTGTGACTGTCCCTTTTGGGGTTCACTCCTTTCTCCAACCTGTTGGCCCAACAAAATGTCTCTAAAAAAATTCAACAGAACTACCTAGAATTATATTCTTTCATGAATTTATACCTCGCTGCTGTCTTAAAATGATTATGAAGTGTTGTGTATTTGGTTTCTGAAGCTGCTTCACCTTAAAACCACAAAGCACAGTATTACAAAGTAGTATACCAGAATTTCCTGCACAACAGGCTCATAAATCTCTTTTTTTTTTCCCCCTCAGGGCCACCTGGAGCCACAGGAACTCCAGGGGAAAAGGGAGATCCTGGTGAGCTGGGCTTGCCTGGAAACGAGGGCCCAACAGGGCAGAAGGGTGACAAGGGAGACAAAGGGGACGTGTCCAATGATGTGCTCCCCGCAGGTAAGGGGCTGGTGCTGCGGTCTTCTCCTGGGGCGAATGGGACCAGAGACCATCCTGGTTTCTTGTACCAAGGCTGCTCTGGATCATCTCTCCTTATCTTCCCTAGATGCCCATCTGTTTCGTAGCATGTTTTAGAGTCCTGTGCTTTTGACAAGGAGAAAACCATGTGTAAGCCCAATGTTGGTAAGACCAAATCTGAGATCTAAGCATAAGTAGTTGAGATAAAGCACCATGCCGTGGCTGGATGGATTTAGGATGAAGAAAGCTTCCTTTTCCCAAATATCTGTTAAATCCAGTGCAATCCAGAAGAAGAGAAATGAGATATTTCAGAGGACAACAGACAGAAAGTACAAGCTTCAGAGTTGATCTCAGGCCATCTTCAGACCCTTATCCTAAGATTCTTAACATAGGATTGAGGCAAACATGGTTGCTGATCTTCTTTATCTGGTTTCCAGCCCATGTTAAAAGCAGGTAATTGGTGTCTGTGGCACAGCAAGCCTCAGAAAGGCAATGACATGGCGGAAAGAGTAAGTGACAGCTGATTGTCATGGAGGAGGAAGAGGCAGAATTTTAAAAGCACTTTACTTTGGGGACCATTTGTACTATAAAAGCATAACTATCCTACTTGTGTGTTCAGCAAGCACTTTTGAATATCAGAGAACACCATTTATGAATTAGGGACTTTGCTATAACAGCTGAAACTGGGAATATGAAAATGAGTAAGACCTTTTCGTTTTTCTTTTTTTCTCCTTTTTTTTGCATCCCTAACCCTGACCTTTTCATTTTTCTTTTTTTTCTCCTTTTTTTTCATCCCTAACCCTGACCTTTTCATTTTTCTTTTTTTTCTCCTTTTTTTTCATCCCTAACCCTGACCTTTTCATTTTTCTTTTTTTTCTCCTTTTTTTTCATCCCTAACCCTGACCTTTTCATTTTTCTTTTTTTTCTCCTTTTTTTTCATCCCTAACCCTGACCTTTTCATTTTTCTTTTTTTCTCCTTTTTTTTCATCCCTAAAAAAAAAAGGAGAAAAAAAAAAGAGAATGAGTGAGACATGATATCTGTCCTCAAGAAGCCAGGATGATAGATGTTCAGGACAATGACCCTGAATCAGTGTCCTATCCAGTTTTCAAAATTTCTTGAGCACCTGCCATTTACCAGGTACTGTGTAAAGATCAAAGCACCCAGGAAAAATCAAATTTAGGTTTAGCATGCCTTGTTCCAAAAAAAGGAGGTTGTGTGCAAAATATGTAAAATTTAAGAGGTGTTTTGACAGGATTCATATATATATATATGAATATATATATATGAATATATATGAATATATTTTGAAACTATAAGATCATGTTATATTCAGTTATATGGGAAATCTACACATCCAGAATATCACACTCCCCTATATTAATTACCAAGCAAATGGGGGTGACCACAAGGCATTCAGGAAAGCCACATCTCTGAGTGATGCTACTCTGATTCTAGAGACCAGGCCAGAGCTCAGTGTGTCCTCTGGCCAGGGGGCAGAGAAGGAATAGGAGGACTGGACCACGTCTGCCATGATCGCTGCCTTTTCTGCTGGGGGCTTAGAACCACCCTCAGCCTCTGTGACCCCTGTTTGCCCCTTCAGTTCTAAAGCAGCTGAAAAGGCCTATTTTGTGGGGCTGGGAAGAGGCAGCTAAAGAGATCTCAGATCACCAGTCAGCCCAGGAAAGGAGTGTAGAACCANTTTGCCCCTTCAGTTCTAAAGCAGCTGAAAAGGCCTATTTTGTGGGGCTGGGAAGAGGCAGCTAAAGAGATCTCAGATCACCAGTCAGCCCAGGAAAGGAGTGTAGAACCATAGGACTGAATATCCCAGACTAGCGGCATCTTTATGCAAATTGCAGAACCAAAGGCCCTGCAAAGGGCTGTACCCACATGGCCACCTGAAGTTAGAAGTGTGTAGTGACACCACCTGCTGATGTATAGGTACGCCAAACATCAGAGCACTCACTCTGGTGACCTCCTTGGGTTCTCACAGGGCAGGGCAGGGAGTATGAGAATCTGGAAATGAAGAACCAGTGTCAGAGGGATACACTGCCTGCCCAAGGTCACAAAGCTGGACAGCCACCCCCTGATCTCTTCCACAACACGGAGCAGTGTTTCTCATGCCTGGAAGCATCCTTGGAGGTTTTAAAAACTACAGATGACCAGCTTCCCCATTATTTTGATGAAGTGATCTGGGATGGGGTCCAGGCATTGTAATTGTATTTGAGCTCCTTGGGTGATTCTAATAAACAGTCAGGGTTGCGATCTCCCAACATCAGCCAACAAAAAGAGGATGAGCTAAGGAGTGAGACAGCTCTGAGTGGGGTAGGGGTGCGGGCAGCTCTGCTCCAGCTGTGAGCTGGGGCAAAGCCCTGAACTTCCCTGAGACCCGGGTCACCCGAGGAGCTGCTGGGACTGTCTTACAGAGTACTTGGGAGGGACAAAAGGGAAATTTCTAAAATTCCCAGCACAGTTCCTGGCACATAGTTGAAACTCATAGTTGAAACTCTGTGGGAGCTCCCTTGACCCTGTGTGAGTGAGTGCTGGAGGACCGCTGTCCAGGACTTGGCCAGCCTCCCTGGAGCGGCTCCATCTCCTTTCCCCTTGTGTGGAACCCATCTCTACTTACAGCTCTCTAATCAGCTCTCACCCCTGCTTCTCTCTCTCTTTCTCCAGGTGCCAAAGGTGACCAAGGACCACCTGGCCCACCTGGGCCCCCAGGCCCTCCGGGTCCTCCGGGTCCCCCTGGAAGCAGAAGAAAAGGCCCTCGGCAGCCAAACATGTTCAACGGCCAGTGCCCAGGTCACACACCCCGGCCCTAGGGAGCCATCTCTTCAGTTAACAATCCCAAGCTCTCAGGCTTCACCCAGACTTTGTGACCAGATTGTTTTAAATAAGGGGAGATTTTTCCCAAAGCGAGTATTCCTTCCCCATCTCCACCCACCTGGGAGGCCTGAACAGCCTGCCCAGGGTAAGGACCAGTGGCAGGTTTAGAATCGGGCCTCCTGCCTCCTGCCCTCATCCCTCTTCCTTCACTTGAGCTAGTCGCTCAATTGTGTCTAAGTCTTTGCAACCCCATGGACTGTACCCTGCCAGGCTCCACCATGGAATTCTCCAGGCAAGGTTGGTAGAGGGGGAAGCTATTCCCTTCTCCAGGGGATCTTCCTGACCCAGGGATCAAACCCAGGTCTCCTATTTGGCAGGTGGATTCTCTATAAAGGCTGAGCCATCACCAGACTATTCCTCTTTCTTGCCAGATCCACCGTCTCTGGAGCATGGAGGGCTTGACTGATGGAGACGATGGGGAAATTCAGATCATCTAACTCCCCATAGATACCCCAGTACTGCCATCACCACCTCTAAGCTTTGCTAACAATGCTAGTGACGTTGTAGGCATAGGGCTAAGTGCTCAGTTCATTTAATTCTACACTAGCCCTAAGATACAGGAGTCGTATTCTGACCAGTTCACAGATACAAAGCTGAAACCCCAGGGAGCTACATAGTCTGTCCATGGTCACTCAATTAGTAAGCAACAGCTGGGATTCAAACCCCAGTGTCCCTGCCTGTAAAGCCCCTGCTTGGGGCATTTTCCTTTCCAAGACAGAAATCCACACATTGAGAATAAGCCAACAAAGGGCAGTTCAGTTCAGTCGCTCAGTCGTGTCCAATTCTTTGTGACCCCATGGACTGCAGTGTGCCAGGCCTCCCTGTCCATCACCAACTCACAGTGTTTAATCAAACTCATGACCATTGAGTTGATGATGCCCTCCAACCATCTCATCCTCTGTCATCCCCTTCTCCTCCCTCCCTCAATCTTTCCCAGCATCAGGGTCTTTTCAAATGAGTTAGCTCTTCACATCAGGTGGCCAAAGTACTGGAGTTTCAGCTTCAACATCAGTCCTTCCAACGAGTATTCAGGACTGATCTCCTTTAGGATGGACTGGTTGGATCTCCTTGCAGTCCAAGGGACTCTCAAGAGTCTTCTCCAACACCACAGTCCGAAAGTATCAATTCTTTGGTGCTCAGCTTTCTTTATAGTCCAACTTTCACATCCGTACATGACCACTGGGAAAACCATAGCCTTGACTAGATGGACCTTTGTTGGCAAAGTATTGCAAGGGCATCTGGTTTCTGGCAGGCCTGGACGGCTTGTTCTTCAGCCAGTTGTGACAGGGGTGGCTGTGGGGTTGAGAGCTAAGAAGAAATCAAGGGCTGTGTTAATGAAAAGTCCTTCTCAGGTGCTGCTAGAACTTCACACAGCGATGTTCAGGGACTTATTCCCCTACCTTGGGCCATGAGGAGGCACACCTGGATGCCTGACTTCCTGGCAAGCAGAGAAGAAGGTCCTGACCGGGGTTTCTCTCTCACTTGCTGTGGATTTCTCCACCACTTTTCTAAACACCCTTTCATTCTGTCTGGTACATTGTTCCTTCTGGAAGATGTTTGGGTGGGGGATATGGAACACACTTAGCTGTCAGAGTGGGTGAATCTGAGCTTTCAGGGATGTCACCACCACGCCCAGTGAATGGAACCTGATTATGACCCTGCCCAGCAGTGAGCAGGCTGTTAATTCAACACCACCCACTCCCTTAGCATCAGCCCTTTGTTCAGCTTCCCTGGGGGTACAGGCTGAGCTGAACCCTCCCCTGAGAGGAGGGGAAGTCTGACCCTGCTTCTGTGGAACTTGGACTTGCCAGAGGCTCTGTCAGCAGTGAGAGGGGTGCTGGAGAGGTGCCCTCCCAGCCTAGCCTGCCTGCTAAGAGGCTGGTTGGCAGGGAGGGGTTGGGCTTCAGGGTTGTGAAAACTGCTTAAAAGAGAGGCCGATTCCTTCTGCTCTGCCTCCCAGAAGTGCGTCCTGGTTGTCCGGCATCCAGCATCTGAGCTCCACCCTCACTGCTGCTCCTTCCTTAACCCCATCCCACCCCCTCAGCTTTAGAAGCTGGTGGGTAGGTCCCGCACGAGTTAACAAGACCTTTTCTTCAGACTAAGAATGGGAGGGTCTCTCTGTCCCTGTCTGTGCGAAGCTCAGGCCCCTAAGTGGGAACTTGAGAGGCAGGATTGTGTGTGGGGAGTCTAACAGCCCCGAGACCGCTCTCATCCATGGCAGAAGGGCTTCAGAGAGACAGGGCTCATCCAGCAAAAGGAAGGTTAGAGAAGAGCCTCCCTATTTTACTGATAAAGACACCTCTCTAGTTTATTCTGTGCGTTTCCCTAGTGATGGTGGAGGTGCTCCTTTCTATCTAGCAACCACAAGGTGATCGGAAACCCTCAGAATTTGCCTGGGGAAGTGGGTCCTGGCCTTTCCCAGAAAGCCCAATTTGCCGAGAGCTGCCGCCAGGCGGTCTGTTCCCTCTCTTCTCCACACTGGCCACGCGACCCGCGCCTTCTGTCCTGCTTCTGCCACCTGAGCACCTCTTCACCAAAGGTCTGAACTCAGCCCATTTGCTAATGAAGATGAATTTATGCTTAGTCATAGCTTCAAACCAACTATGAATCAGGTGCCCCTCAAGGGCCTGGATCCCACAGGTCTTCGAGCAGAAAAAAACAGACGGGAGATGGGGAGGGGAAAGGGGCCTCGACCTCCCTGGTCTAGGCTGTCTCTAGGCTCCCTCCTCCCCTGCTCCCTGTCAGTTCAGGAAGACAGGGTGCGATGGGCCACCCCATCATGAGGCTGCTCCCTCATCCCTATCAGCTTCACTGAAAGTGAAAATCCCTCCAGAAAATGCAAATTGTGATAGATTCCCACCTGCCCAGAGTGGCCAGAAACATGTCAGTAAGCCTTCCTCCTCACCCCACCCCCAGGTTGTTGAGGGTTAGGATAGCTGACTCAGGTGACATTTTCCTATTACTGACATCCTCTCGGGATCATACAGTCTTAGTAACTGTGGTCATGAAATGCTTGTGGGGAACTCATCAGGCAGAGGAAACAAAATTGGAAGCGTATGAGTTGGTGCTTCAAAGCAAGCAAGCGAAAACCAAGGATGCTTATGGAACTCGAATCTGGAATGAGGTGGCGGAAATCACCAGTTATAAAGTTATACACATCTCACTGTGCCAACTGCATTTGCTCTGATTATCTTTGTTGTTTTAGGTGAGACATGTGCTGTACCAAATGATGATACCTTGGTTGGAAAAACTGATGAGAAAGTCAGTGAACACCATTCGCCAGAAGCAGGTACAGAAACAAAGCATCCTGTTTATTTTTTTTAATTACTTGTGTATGGGTCTTCATTGCTGTGTACAGGCTTTCTGCAGTTGCAGCGAGCAGGGGCTACTCTCCGGTTGCGATAAGAGGACTTCTCATTGTGGTGCCTTCTCTTGTTGCGGAGCACAGGCTCTGGGTGCAGTAGTTGTGGTGCATGGGCTTAGTTGCTCTGCGGCATGTGGCATCTTCCTGGACCAGGCATCGAACCTGTGTCCCCTGCATTGGCAGGCAGGTTATTACCCACTGGACCACCAGGGAAGTCCCAAAGCATCCTGTTTTAAAACTCAGAAATCAGATATCTTAAAGTCATATGGACTAAAAAAATAAAATCAGCACAATGTGAGAGTTGTGAGTCATGTTTCTTTTGTTGCAAAATGAGGGCTATAGCCCAGGAGAAAGCATTTCAGGTAGCTCAGAGAAACTGCTCCAGAGCAGTAGGGGGAGAGGTCAGCATATATGTGATTTTGGTGAAGGAGGAGTACATGCAATTAAGCACATGTTTTTTGCAGAAGGTTTCTGCAAGTCACATGGAGCAGTCATCACCATGAAGGATTTGGGTGCTTTTCTAGATATTTGGAAAGTGAAAGTGTAAGTCTCTCAGTCATGTCTGACTCTTTGTGACCCCATGGACTGTAGCCCACCAAACTCCTCTGTCCATGGAATTCTCAGACAAAAATACTGGCGTGGATTACCTTTTCCTTCTGCAGGGGATCTCCTTACCCAGGGATCGAACCCGGGTCTCCCACATTGCAGTCAGATTCTTTACTGTCTGAGCCACCTTATGAAGAGATACATGACTTCAGTTCAGTTAAGTTCATGCTCAGTCGTGTCCGACTCTTCATGACCCCATGGACAGCACCATGCCAGGCTTCCTGTCCATCACCAACTCCCAGAGTTTACTCAAACTCATGTCCATTGAGTCGGTGATACCATCCAATCATCTCATCCTCTGTCATCCTCTTCTCCTCCTGCCTTCAATCTTTCCCAGCATCGGGGTCTTTTCTAATGAGTCAGTTCTTCGTATCAAGTAGCCAAAGTATTGGAGTTTCAGCTTCAGCATCAGTCCTTCCAAGGAACATTCAGGACTGATTTCCTTTAGGATGGACTGGTTGGATCTCCTTGCAGTCCAAGGGACTCTCCAGAGTCTTCTCCAACATCACAGTTCAAAAGCATCAATTCTTCGGCTTGGGCTCATAAAATCAGCTCCTGAAAATATCTAACTATCTGAAGACCTGTTCTACCAGTCCCCTACTGCCACCCCCACTGAGGACAGAGTGCCTCATTTCTGCTGTCCACCCTTAGCTCCTTTCAGGGGATGTGGAAAGTCAGCAGCTGCATCAGCACATGATTTAATCCTTGTAGAGGTAGGTGGCAAGTCCCAGTGGCAACTGCCAATTTGTAGGTTACAGTCATAACTGGGAGGTGAGTAACTTTCTCTTCTTTTAATAGAATCCATGATCACATCAATTGGAAATCCAATACAAGTGTTGAAAGTTAAAGAGACGTTTGGGACTTGGATAAGAGAGTCTGCTAACAAGAGTGATGAACGCATTTGGGTGACTGAACATTTCTCAGGTGCTTTTACTTGGCAGATGATCCATATCTCTGTTGTAATTTTCTTTCCTCTGTTGCCTCCCTTCAGGCTTATCCTGTTTCTGTGTCTGAAATCCTTGCTCATTGGTGTAACAGAATTGCTTTTTTTATTTTAGAAAGCCCAAATGAGTGGGCAGAATGCTCTTCTCAGTTGAGCACACTGGTGACAAACCTCACAGTTCAGATAATGGGGACATGACCAGGGCACCCCCACTGTAGCTTTTTGGCAAAGTGTCCAGGAGGAAACAAATAGCATCCTGACTGATAAACCATAAGAAACCCTGAAACCATAATAAGGAAGAAATGTCAGAGACAGTTTTTTTGTTGTTTTTTTTGCACAGGCTATCTTTCTTTAAGGAGAATCCTTTTGGCCACTTTTCTCAGATACCACAGCATCTGAGAGCCCAGGGGAGAGGGTGAGGTATCATCTTGAAGATCTACTGCATCACACTGTCCCAAACGGATGTGGTCAGGGATTGCAGTGGCCCCATGCCAGAAGAGTCCTGGCCATGCCTACTAGTCAGAGCAATAGCTCAGACATGCTACTTTGGTTTCATCCAGGCTTACTCATCAGCTGGTAGTAACTGTCCAGATGACCAGCTGAGAGGGAATCTGTGACTCTAAAGCGAAGAGCAAGGGCATTGAGCCAGCATGGCCCCCTTGGAGTGCAGTGCTGGGAGGGGACCGCACAGGTGCTCATCACGATGCTGGCCTATGGCAGTCTGATAGAAAAGTTGATAAAATTGTAGGGGAGGGCATGGTGCCATTTTCCTGAGATGAGCAAAGGCAACTCTGGTTACTGTGTTCAAAAGATGATTCAGGAATCCACGGAAGAGAATTGGCCTTAGGGTTTGGGAGCCTGGGATCTTGAAACTAGACAAGGACCCTTGCAGGACGTCTGACTCTCACCTTCCATCCTTTTACCCCTCCTTCCCCGACTCGCCTCCAAGCTGTGACTGCCTTTCCCTGGCTTCCCTCCTACAGGTATCAGGGTGAAGGAATTTGAAGACCAGCCCTCGCTGCGGAACGGCAGTTACACGCTCATCCACCTCCCGTACTATTTCCACGGCTGTGGTCACACTGTCCACAACAACGCTCTCTACTACCACAAGGGGGGCTCCAACACCATCGTGAGGTGAGTCCTTCGGGGCCCCGCTGCCCCTCCTCACCCTCCCCTGCCAGCACCTTCTCTGTGGCGCTTTAGTCACACTTCAGCTACTTAGGGGGAGGGACTGTGGGTCTGCCCTCTTTATGTTCCCTGGGGCCTGGCGCACAGCCAGAGGTCAGCCAGGGTTTGCTGACTGAATGAACCGCAGGCCACAAGGAGTGAGCCCCACTGCATTTATTGCTGGTCTGGAACCAAGCGTAAGGTCAGGGCCAGGGAGAAGGAGGCCGGTAGCAACAGGGGGAGGAAGCTTTCTCATTCTTTGGGAAAGAAAGAGCAGAATCCAGACCTCCCTCTGGCAGGAAGGTGTCACACCCTCAAATCGGTTTTGTTCTGAAAACTGTTGGGTGTGAAGAATTTCATGTCACAGCTGAGATCTCTGAGGACTAGAGACTGCAAGGCCTTTGGGTGGTTCTGTCATCCTGACAGAGCCCTCACCAAGCCGCCTCCTCTGCGCCCTCCATTTTCCCATGGGTAAGAGCGGCGGCCACCCAGGTAGTCGGGGCCCAGGACAGCAGCCCAGGCTTCCTGGCTCTGCACAAGAATTGCTAAAGGTTGTCTGCATGGCTCAAGAAGAAATCAAGTGCTGGGCTTTAGAGGCAGAAGTGGTCATCTTGGGCAAATCAAGGGAGCAGTGAACTCAATCAAGTTCCAACCCTCCCACCTACTTATTTGTGACCTCGGAGGAGAGACTCCACCTCTGGTGACTTCCATGTCCTCGCTACAAATGGAAAGGTGGATGAGAACCTCTGCAGCCCGCCAACTGTACTCCCATTGGAAATGACGATTCAAGTTGTGAAAGCCATGGTCCTCATCACTCCAAACAAGAGACTTGTATCTTGAGGGAGAACTGGATTCCTTCATGGGCATGGGCTTGCTAGTACATCATGCAGTTAAACCAGCCACGTTAGACACACATGTCAGCCGTGGCTGGAGGCACCCCGTCCTGTGCCTCTGCACCACCCCCCACCCTGGGCTCCCTCACTGCCTCGTCACCTCCTGGTTACCTCATCTAGACAGAATCTTGCGCTAAAAGAAAAAGCTAACTGACCCGCCACCGATTCAGAAGCCCTCTCTCCCCACACACACTGCTTTCTGTGACATTTGTTCTCATTTTCCAGCCCTGTGGCTCCCTGCATGCGCAAGTGTGCTAAGTCGCTTCAGTTGGGTCCGACTCTTTGTGACCCCATGGACTGTAGCCCACCAGCCTCCTCTGTCCATGGGGTTCTCTAGGCAAGAATACTGGAGTGGGTTGCCATGCTCTCCTCCAGGGGATCTTCCCGACCCAGCAATCCAACACAGATCTCTTTTGTCTCCTGCACTGCAGGCGGGGTCTTTACTACTAGGAAGCCCTGTGGCTCCCATGTGTGTGGGGCCACCCAGGTGGCACAGTGGTAAAGAATCCACCTGCCAAACAGGTTCAATCAAAGCTGGTTTGATCCCTGGGTTGGGAAGATCCCCTGTAGAAGGGAATGTCTACCCACTCCAGTATTCTTGCCTAGAGAATCCCATGGACAGAGGAGCCTGGGGGGCTACAGTCCGTGGGGTCGCAAAAGAGTCGGACACGACTGAGCGACTGAGAGCAGTTACGTGAGGTGTTCTGGGGTGAATGAGCCCCAGAAGAGGATTGGCCACCCTAAGAAAGAGTGGCTTCTAATGACACGAAGCTCGTGTGAGGCACTGGTTAGAACAACTATACTAGGGCCCTGCTCCAGTGCCTGGCTACAGTCTGGGAGGAGAATCAGAGGCAGACTGGAATTAGACCCTTTTTTGCTGGAAGAGACGAGCCTCATCAAGAAAAGCAACTGGCGGTGCCAGTGCTAGAACGGCAGTCCTGAATCCCTGGCATTCAGAGGAAGGGGAGCCCTGAGAACAGAGATGGGCATGAAAGACCTTCTCAAGCCCGCGCTCTTATCTAGTTTCTTTTCAAGCTTACTTCAGGATTTCCTAACTGGCTTCAAGCTTGTGTACTCCAATGCATACCCGCAGCTTTGCACCTGTCACAGTTCTGCTGCTCGATGGCGCCCTCTAGTGCTTTTCTTTTCTTGTAGCCTTGAGTCCCTGAATTTTCATTCCTGAAGCTGAATCAAAATCCACTTTTGCTATGATGTAGATTTGGAGTCTGCCAAATCAAACAGCCTCCAGGAGCTGAGGGGCCTGGGGTTTCACGCCATCACTTCATTGATCTACTTGCTTACCAAAGAAAGAAAAGTGACTTCACAGCCATGACTTTGCTACTTCACTTCTCTGCTGCTGACTTCCTTCACTGAGCCTGCTGTGAAATTTTTGTCTTAAAACTCCAGCGTGGAGTAGAGGAATCACCCCCAAACTTGGAGGTCAAAAGCCTGAATTTAAACTGCTTACCTGTATTCCTGGGCTGGTCACATCTCCTTTTCTCATTAGTAAAATTAAATGACAGACTAGATTATCTTTTAAGGCCCCTTGCAGCTCTGAGAGGGCATATCAGGAGGTCAGCAGGCACCTGAGGATTCAGGAAGTGAAGGACTTTTACCAGGGTCACGTGGTTAGGAGGTGGACACTGAGATGTAGTCACCAGCCTCTGCATTCTCACCACTCACGGTGTTGCAGATGAAATAGCAGAATGAGCACAACCTGGAACTTACTAGAAATGCAGAATCCCAGGCCCCACCCTAGCTTAACAGAGGAGCCTAAAAACCACCCTTGTCCATAAAAATGGTGTCTCATATCTACTTTTTTTTTTTTTTAACACATTTCAGGTTTGAATTTGGCAAAGAAACATCCCAAACTCTGAAGCTTGAAAATGCCTTGTATTTTGATCGAAAATACCTCTTTGCGAATTCCAAGACGTACTTCAATTTAGCTGTAGATGAAAAGGGCCTTTGGATTATCTATGCTTCCAGTGCGGACGGCTCAAGCATCCTTGTCGCACAGCTGGAGGAGAGGACCTTCTCCGTGGTGCAGCACATCAACACTACGTACCCCAAGTCCAAGGCCGGCAACGCCTTCATTGCCCGAGGGATCCTCTATGTCACTGACACCAAGGATACGAGGATAACGTTTGCCTTTGATCTGTTAGGAGGGAAGCAGATCAATGCAAACTTTGCTCTAAGAACTTCCCAGTCTGTTCTTGCCATGTTATCATACAATATGAGAGACCAGCATTTGTATTCTTGGGAAGATGGCCATTTAATGCTTTATCCCGTACAGTTTCTGTCAGCTGCTTTGCACCAGTGATAGGAAGCATTCTGTTCCCCTCAGTAAATTTCAGCTGTTCTCTGGTACCGTGTGTGTCCCAATAGGAAACTTGTCTTTAAGGGCGGTCAGGTTATTAGCTGTCATAATCTCACGACACGGGTGCTGATGTGGTGTTTCCCCTTTAATTCTGACTCTGTAGGGGAAATAACGGACTGGAACTCACAAATGGCTGGCATTTGGTGATTCCTTCAGAAACTAGCTGGGCAAGTTATGTCTCCCTCTTTAGGTCTTGTTTTTCCCCACTGGTAACGTGAAAGGGCTGGCTAAGATGATTGGTAAGATTTCCTTACCTGTAGGGAATTCTGTGATTCTTAGCTGTTGCTGCTCTCGCAACTTTTACGTATTTGGTTTTGGATTTTATTTTTGGCTTTTAGCCATGGCTGAGCAGATTTACCTCTGAGTTGATCAGCCTGGTGGCCTGAGCAATGAATTCCTTAGTTCCGACTTATGTTTATTGTCTTGGAAGCTGCACTGACCCTTTAAGGCTGTTGAGTTACCTTATTACCCCTAACTTATTACCTTTCTCTGCATCTTCACCTGCCACCAGAGCGTCAGAGTGGGCATCATCCTCAGCTCCTGATTACCATGCCAGAATTAGCCAAAGCAGGAATAGCTGCCTGCATTGAAGCAGAAACAGGCACTTCTGGGTTCCTGTCAATTTCTGACCATGCTGATCTGCAGCTCGGCTCGTAAACGTTGAATCTGCAGGTCTTGCAGAGTCTTTCTGCCCTAGATCTGGATCAGCTCTCAGAGTAAATACTGTGCAAGTGGACATTAATCCAGTGAGAACCTTGAGAGGCACTTTGCAGTTTTCAGAAGAAAGGTGCCATTCGTGGTTATTATCTAGAACAAGGATGGGCAAACTGTGACCCGTGGGCCAAATACAGCCCATTGTCTGTTTCTGTAAATAAAGTTTTATTCAACACAGTCAGAGGCATTTGCGTATTATCACGGTCACAGGCATATTATAGTCTGGGACTACTTTTGCTGAACACTGGCAGAGTTGAATCACTGCGAGAAAGCTGAGGAACAGCTCCCCAAACCTAAGACATTTACTTTCTGGCCCTTTATAGCAATAGTTTGCCAACCCCTGATCTAGAATATTAGAGTGAGCCTGATTCTTAGAAGGGCTTATTCACCTGAGCCTGTTCATTATATATTTTTTTTGTTTCAGACTAAAAAGAGGTCATTTATATGCTTTGAATTTATGGTAAAGGGCAAGGGTGAGAACAGCATAAAATTATGCTGTTCCACCCCCAGGAAAGCAGTTAATGAACTGTTCTTATCCTAGTGTAGTTTTTCTTTTTAATATGTTATCTGGCTTTTTCCTCCTTGTGACTTTTAAAAAAATTTTAATTGGCAGATAATTACTTTATAACTACCCAAATATAGTTTTAAAGAATGTGATCTGGTCCCTTTGGATGCCAGGAGAAAATCCAGTTTAACTTGCTCCTAGTTCAGTTCAGTCACTCAGTCGTGTTGAACTCTTTGCAACCCCATGGACTACAGCATCCAGGCTTCTCTGTCCATCACTAACTCCCAGAGCTCACTCAAACTCAGGTCCATCGAGTCGGTGNCCAGCTTGTGCTTCTTCCAGCCCAGCATTTCTCATGATGTACTCTGCATATAGGTTAAATAAGCAGGGTGACATAATACAGCCTTAATGTACTCCTTTCCCAATTTGCAACCAGTCTGTTGTTCCATGTCCAGTTCTAACTGTTGCTTCTTGACCTGCATACAGATTTCTCAGGAGGCAGGTAAGGTGGTCTGGTATTCCCATCTCTTTAGAATTTTCCACAGTGTGTTGTGATCCACACAGTCAAAGGCTTTGGTGTAGTCAGTAAAGCAGAAATAGATGTTTTTCTGGAACTCTCTTGCTTTTTCGATGTCCAGCAGATATTGGCAATTTAATCTCTGGTTCCTCTGCCTTTTCTAAAACCATCTTGAACATCTGGAAGTTCTCGGTTCATGTATTGCTGAAGCCTGGCTTGAAGAATTTTGAGCATTACTTTACTAGAGTGTGAGATGAGTGCAATTGTGTGGTAGTTTGAGCATTCTTTGGGATTCCCTTTCTTTGGGATTGGAATGAAAACTGACCTCTTCCAGTCCTGTGGCCACTGCTGAGTTTTCCAAATTTGCTGGCATATTGAATGCAGCACTTTAACATCATCATCTTTTAGGATTTGAAATAGCTCAGCTGGAATTCCATCACCTCCACTAGTTTTATTCGTAGTGATGCTCCCTAAGGCCCACTTGACTTCATACTACAGGATGTCTGGTTCTAGGTGAGTGATCACACCATCATGGTTATCTGGGTCATTAAGATCTTTTCATATAGTTCTCTGTGTACTTGCTCCTAAATGCCCTTAAATACACATATTTTCTGCCAACTTGGTTCTTCAAACATCCTTCAGCCTAACACTGAGGTCCAGGCAGGGCCACCGAGAGTAGAGAGGAGTCCTGGGGTCCTACAGTCAGGAAGGAGATGTAAGGGAAATACTTATGTAAAGATATTTCAGCAATTTGCCCTCACTGAGTACATGTATGTGTTAGGGGGAGCTTCTCAAACTTTTTCACTAGAGCCTCATTGATTCTCAGTAGCCCTGAGTCCTGGTTTTATACCTTATTAGTGGAAGCATTTTAAATTTCAGGGGATGTGCAGATTGAAATATTTGAGTCTCCATACCCCCTGAATAAACCTAGGCAGCTATGAGGGAACTTGTTGTTGCTGTGTTCTCAAAATAATGGGTATTTGAAACTTTTCTCACCACTTTTTAATGAGATTGGTTATGTCATGTCATCACAGCTTTTTTAAAAAATGTCCTCTTCAGATTCATGTTTTATAACAAAGTAGAGTTTCATGTTCAAGATCAATGTGTTTAATATGTGCTACTCTTAAAGTATTTAAAAATATATGTTGGCTGTTTCTGGACACAGGGGACCTGAATATGTATATAGTTTCATAGTGATTATAATAGTAATATATACAATACTAACTGTACATACAATAACAACCAAAAGAGGTTAGTTATTTAATTAGCCCATATTTCTTTTAGAAAAAGTTTTAGAAACCCCAATCTTGGTATTTGATTTATCTTGGCACCCTTAACTGTTGGTAAGGAATCATATACTCACTGCTAAACACGTATAGATTGGGATTTCTTGCTCTCTCTTTTTTTTTTTTTTGCTATGGCAGAGTAATATAAGGACAACTGAGTTTGACCAACAAACAGAAATTAGTAATTTCATAATAGGGTTGAAAAGTTTGTCTTTACAGAGTGAAAAGAATTCAGATTTTACTCATTCTTTCCTGCAAACAGTGCTTGATTTTTAAAAAAAGGTTTGAACTCATTGCTAAAATAGAATGTACCAGCTAATGTTTTTAAGTCAAGATATCATTTTAGCAGTTTACATTGACCCTTATAAGCAAAGTTACTTTACAGCACTTTCCAAACATTTGCACTTCTGATGTCAGAATCAAACCAGATAATTCCCTAATTCTTCTTTAATCTAAAGCAGATAATTTCCCACCAGAGAGTAAATAAAACCATCCCTCTCAACCTCAGAGGTTGGGTGGACCCCATTTCAAAGCATCTTCTTGCAAACTGATATTGTGTCCTATCATTTAGCCCAGGTGTTATGACAAAGTAAGGGTCCTGGGAGGAAAGTTTTCAAATGAGGAGTTCTGATCTTAAGTACATCCACAGTCTGTTACCTTCCAAGGTTGCAAGATAAAAAGTCAAACAAGACACTGAAATTCTTAAAGAACCAGGTGTCTTTTTCTGACTGCACTGACTACATTTTGACTGTGGCTAGAAGGCAATGGCACCCCACTCCAGTACTCTTGCCTGGAAAATCCCATGGACAGAGGAGCCTGGTAGGCTGCAGTCCATGGGGTCGCTAAGTGTCAGACACAACTAAGCAACTTCCCTTTCACTTTTCACTTTCCTGCATTGGAGAAGGAAATGGCAACCCACTCCAGTGTTCTTGCCTGGAGAATCCCAGGGACGGGGGAGCCTGGTGGGCTTCTGTCTATGGGGTCGCACAGAGTCAGACACGACTGAAGCGACTCAGCAGCAGCAGCAGCAGATGGTCACAGACGATCTAAAGGAGAAGTTCAGGACTGAGCTTTTCAGTTCTCATGCAGCTGCTAGGACCTGGTGAACCACATCATTAAAACCATAATTTCCAACCTGTAACCACAGATTCTAAGCTCTTCTGAGCAACGAATGGATCATGGTGAAAGTATCTTTTTTGGTTGTAATTTATTTAACTTTAATTAGTCAATAAAAATAATCATTGCTGAACATAATCACATGTTGAAACAAGTGTACTGTTATTATTACCTCATGTTAATTTATACATAGTGTTTAGAAGAAAAAATAACCAAAAACCAGTGTTGTGGTAGAATTATATTAATATTTGTTGCTCCTCTATTCAAACACTCATAGTTTGCTGGCTCCTTCTGAGTACTGAAAAAAGTCATTAATATGGATTGTTTTCTCTATCAGAAAACATGAAAAATGTGCAACTAGTTACTAAAACTAGATACTTACAGATGTAAGTGCAATGAAGATTTGTTAGTTTATTGGCTTAGTTTAGGCAACTAAAAAGGACATGATGTTACCTGCTAAACATAGAAGGAATTTTAAAAATTGGATTTGTGTGAATTTGGGCGAGTCTCTCAATCCCTCAGAAGCTCTCTGTCATCTGTAAAATGTGGATAGTACTACTTACCTCCTTTGGTTTTTCCATGTGAAATGAAAAGTGCTCTAAAAATTATATGATTCTTGATAAATCATAAGTGGTACTTTTATATTTCAAACCTACAGGGAACCAGAGTGACGCTGTTATTCTTTCAGCCTTATTCAGGGCTACCGAGCTGAGTGAGAGGTATACAGCATCAACAGTGTCTCTCTGCTGGTCTGTATGACTGTATGAAGTCTGTATGACTTCATGCCACCAAAAAAATGGTCCCTTAGTCATGCAACAAATTTACAGTAAAAACGCCCTCAAATCATGAAAAAAAAAATTCAAGGACCCCACTGTTTTGACCTAGAGAACTTCTTTATAACCTTCCCCAGAAGAGTCTCTGTTCCTGACAGGCCCAGGCATGCACTGCTGATGTCTTTTGTCATTAAAATAATACAAAGCAAAAAAGAAATAAAAGTCCTCAGAGAAAATAGCCTTTCCCCTTTACCTGGACCATTCAGACTTTGCATGGGATGCTAACATATCCAGTTTTATAGCTGTTCACTGTAAGATTTAAAATAAGAAAGAAATTAACCTGTCTCCCTACTTTCCCCTCCAAATGATCTGTCATGATCAGCCTCAAAAACTGAGCCACTTGAACAGTGGTTGTTAAACTATTTTCTAAAAATCTAAAAAAATTAATTCTAAAATTGCTAAAGTCTTGTGTCTAGCAATATGGCTTGGTTAGTGTTCCAAATTCATTTGCCAAGAAGCCACATACATAATCACAGGATTACAAAAGGTCAACACTAGATAGAATCTTCACATAAAACCACTCCAGCTTTCTCATTTTAAAGCCTAGAAAAGTGAATCCAGAGAAGTTTCACCTAACATCACAGCTTAAGTATCATGGTGAAGATAAGATATTTTTTCCTAACTTTATGATCATGGTTTCCACCTTACTCAGACATGTCCAAGAGAAGGATCTGGTCTGTGGAAAAAGCCAGTAATTAACTTTGAAGATTTTTTTCAAAAGGCGTTCCTTTTAAAAAAGCTGTATCTAGAGGAATTTGCCAATTTAAGCCCAGTCAGGCATAGAACACTCCTCAACAAAGAATTCCTCAACAGTCGTCACCTTCCAAGAGGGAGATAAGAAAGCTGGCACAGTACTGCTTGTTACTCTAAAAATTGCCTCACCATTGGACAACCCTTCCTGCCCAGATTTTTTAGAGACATCAATGTAACTGTTGCCTGGTGCTCACCATCTATGTGTCATGGTCTCCGCTAGGCAATGGAACATGTTATTTCATTATTTCACTTGATCGTTATTTCACTTGAGCATCATAGATGCTCAAATGGAAAAGTCCTTCTTGTTGTTTTTCAGTTGCTAAGTCGTGTCTGACTCTTTGCGACCCCATGGACTGCAGCGTGCCAGGTTTCCCTGTCCTTCACAATGTCCCAGAGTTTGATCAAGCTCATGTCCATTGATATCCTTCTTAAATATCATTTACTCTCTCTGGTCAATATTTTAATCCTCTCTCCAAGCATGGTAAACGCTATGATATATCCAGTACATGGATTCCACGTCAGGAAAGACTTTCTGCCCCTGGTGCTGGGAGTGCTGTCAGCAAATAGCCTTCAGCTGTCAGACCCTTCAGGATTTGCCTTGTCTGCAGAGATTTGCTTCACCCAGGAAGCACCTCCTCATCCAGTGATGGATCAGTGTGAGTATAAAGGCTTGGACAACTCAGCCCAACTCAGAACTGCTGTGAAGGGCCACTCTAGTACCAGAGATCCCCATAGCTCAGCCAGACCTGTCACTGGGCCTGCAT